CATTGTTTTCTTTCTGGTTTTTTCCAGTATAGCCATAGAGTTTGGAGCATTTCTCCTTGGTATGCCCAACTCGGTTACAGTGGCTACACCATGACCTATTTGAATCAGAATCAATTCTAGCCCTGTACCTTTGAGACTATTGGCCTATTGAAATAAGGGCAGAGTTCTCGAAAGGACGATGACCAGCTATAGTCAATGGTTTTAGTTCTCTTGTGTCTCCCAACATAATAATACGTCGTTTCTCTTCCATCCTTACTTCAACAAAAGCTTCTCCTATGGTTGGTAGTATGATTCTGCCTAGTATTCGTCCTCGGACCTCATCAAGATCACGATTTAGTCATGCTAGGAACTTATAGAGATGCTCTTTTTTAAGATGATCCATGAACTTGGTGTGTTCCAAGCCCTCACCCCAATCAGCTTCATAATACATGTCTAACTCCTGCCATAAGATCTTTAGATTGTTGTAATATTGGGTAACTTCAAGTGTTCCTTGTCGAGTATCCTTCAACTTTAATTTGATCTCGAATACTTGGGAAGCATTTCCAAGATCCAAGTAATTCTCCTTGATCGCATCCCACATTTCTTTGGCAGTTTTGAAAAAAAGATAAGTTCGGCTTATATGACCTTCCATCGAATTTATAAGCCAACCCATAACCATTGAGTTGTTAAGCTCCCAAGTTGCATAACCAGAGTCTGTTGATACTGGTCGAGGAATTTCTCTATTAATGTACCCAATTTTTCCTCGGCCACGAAGAACCATAAGGATATATTGTGACCATTGCAGGAATTTTTTTTCATCTAACCGATGATTTGTGATTATAAGAGAAGAGTTAAGGTCAGCTTGAGGGATTCCTTGGCTGTGATTTTGAGTTATTTGTGAGATCTCAGTCTCAGACAGGGTTTTATTGATATTACCCATGAGAGATGGAAAAAAGAGGGATTTTTAGGATGAGAGATGAGAGACGAATGAGTAGGATCGAATGAATCCTAAAGCTCTGATATCATGAACAGGTTTAGGAAGAAAAAACTTTATATATTCTTCTAATCTGAATACAACCTTTTAAAATAGCAAAAAAAATATAAAAAATGAAATAATCTCTAGAAATTAGCTTATCTCTAGAAATTAGCTTGTCTCTAGAAATTAGTAATTAGATTATGACTAATATTACAAGGAAATTCCTAGAACTAATGTAGAAAAACTGCTTAATTTAAGGAATTCCAACATTTTTATTGAAGTTCCCTTGTCCGATGCACATATATGGAGATGAGTATGGAAATAGAGCTTTCTAAAGATCTTCAAATACATAAAAAATCCTTTTTAAAAATAATAATAAATTGAATATAACTATTTGAACTCATACCCGTATTCAGAGTCTAAGTAATATAGATTTGTCCCTTTCCATGACAGCTACTTTTCTGTCATATGTTGTTTTATTTCAAATAGAATATAATATGAACTACAGTTTTGTTTATACGGAATTTTTCTTTGACGCGGGCTAAGTCCAAAAGGGTAATTTACATGACTTTAATAGGTTACATGCACTTGTTTCCATTAGTTGAATGCTTTGTGTGGCTGATGCACATTCTGAAAACAATTCACTTGAACTTTTGTAACAGAACCTTATCCTTGTTATTTGTTATCAAATTTGTCCCATTTTTATTACGTTTCTATCGCTTTTGGAAGCTCAACTTAATTTTTTAATCACATTTAGATCCTTGCGGTTATATGTACTGTTTTCAACAAAATCAGTTTGTTTTATAGGATGACAAATGACGAGCTTCGTCGTTCTCCGGGGACTCCTGTTTTCACTGCACCTGAGTGCTGTCTAGGTTGGTGCTCCTTCAATTAGCTGAAACAATGGTTTAGTAGTATTGGAGTGTGATAGTTCGAGAACAAAGTATATTTTTGTTTTGAGCATACTCGAAATCCATTATGTATGTTTTCAACAAAATCAGTTTGTTTTATATGACAACTGACGAGCTTCGTCGTTCTCGGGGACTCCTGTTTTTCACTGCACCTGAGTGCTGTCTAGGTTGGTGCTCCTTCAATTAGCTGAAACAATGGTTTAGTAGTATTGGAGTGTGATAGTTCGAGAACAAAGTATATTTTTGTTTTGAGCATACTCGAAATCCATTAACAGGCTCAACGCACGGTGGAAAAGCTGCGGATACATGGGCCGTGGGAGTTACATTGTGTTGTACGGTACCGGGAAAATATCCATTTCTTGGTGAAACACTACAAGATACGTATGAAAAGGTATGCGATTTGCTCTCAATTTCTCCGTCGCTTCTGCTTTTATTCCGGCATTCAGACATTCTCCGACAGCCGCCAGCAACATTGCTCATCATAACGTCTGCAGATTGTGAATAACCCCTTGGTTCTGCCAAATGACATGAACCCAGAGTTAAATAATTTACTACAAGGACTTCTTTGCAAAGGTTAGTGAAACTGTTCGCCGTCCAATTATCATTATTTAGTTCTAGTATTGTAATTCGACATAATAATTCAGTCCCTCTACTTTTACAACATCATTACTTAGTCCTTAAAACTGTGTTGAGTTTTGATCCGGAAATTTCTACCTCCGTGGTAGATCTGCAATTATATAGAGATTCTTACATTGCTCGTATTTGATTTATTATTTTCAGTGGTCTGTGAAATTCTCTTTCGTAATTTTTTGTTGATGTATTCAGATCCATTTAGCGAAGTAGCCTATAATTTTTTTTTGTTTCGCCCGTCACTCTGTCGTTACTAAAGCGTCTGGTGGAATAGAGACAAAGAAATACTAGTGACAATTACGCTTTTGGATTTCCTTTTTCTTATTTTGTGTTCGAGTTTTTTTTTATGGACATAATACTTAAAATTCTCTATGTAATCGGTTGCATTGTTAAAGTTATATCATTTTTTTATTTCAATAAAATTCAACATCATTCAAATTTAAAAAATAATTAATGAGATTTATTTACTTTTCTTTATCAATAATATAAGCAAATTTGTATACCTGTTTTTTTAAAAATAAAATAAAATTTTGGACCATTTTTTTATTTCTATATCCGCCACCAATCCTCTCAATCTATTCATCCTACTCTACATTTTAATTGAGTCTCATATTTTTTTCTATTAATATGGTGAATACAAGGTAATATTTGTTTAAAGACTCGATCATTTAATAATGAACACTCATACACCGATATACAAGATGCTCGAATCTGATACCTCAAATGATAACAATAATCCCTTAACCACATACCACCCTCGGTTCGTGCTAACTAAGTCCCATGTTAAATACATCACATTTAGGAATTTAAATTTTATAGAACTGCAGACGAAAAACAAACAAACCCTTTAATGGCCACCAAAATTTATTCTAACCTATGTTGTTCCGACTCTTATTTCCGTCTAAATATTCATATCTGACACTCGAATCTATTTCGTATAATCCAAGTCAAAGTGGCATACACTGATACACAGGGACAGAACCATGTAACGTTTGGGAGGGACTCTTATCTCGCTCAAAATTTTTTGTCAAACGGCACATTAGGTCCTTATTACTCTAAATATTGATCAAACTAAATCTTGCCCTCTCTAGTTCTTAGTTTTAAATCCTCATTGAGTACATGTTCTTTTGAAGTTAAATAAACTAACCCCTTCGAATGTTTAATTCTAGCTCTGTCCCTGAAGATGATATATGATATATCTAGAAAACATAATAAAAGACTGAAGTGGTACCTTATGGAATTCCAAGGTATCACCCTTAGCTTTTCGCACCTCCACCATATGTAAAGAAGGTGCCACTTGAAATATCTAAGTGACATAGTAAGAGTTTTACAAGTACAAAATGTAAGCCGTAAAATAAATAAAATCTTTGCCGTAAGCTCAATAAAATTTGGAAATATTGTGGACGAGAAATTCTTTTAGAAAATTGAAGGTGTTGAAATATTATTTTGAAATCTAGGCCATTTACTACAAAGCACGTGAAACTCGTCATTCTCACACGACGAGTTTCACAAAATATATTAAAAAATACAAATCATCAAGTGGACTGAACGAAAGTTGTATGGAACTCGTCATGTGGACATGACGAGTTCTAATAATTTATTATATTGTATGGAACTCATCATTTCCCCACAACGATATCCAACCACACTATAGCAAATGGTCTAGACCCAAAATTAATTTTCAAACACTTATATTTTCTCAGTATTTTTTCCCGCATGAATTATTACGAAATCGTTGTAAGTTACCTCTGTGGCTACGTTCAGGTTTCCTTTCCTCCCGGCTTTCACATTCTCAAGTCTCATCTACACACAAAAGTGAAAAAGAAAGAATAAGCAAACTGGATGTACAGATTTCGGTAGTTACCTTCATAGCAATGTGTAAAATTTTCTCGCCTTGTAGTTCTTCTTGCGTACATCAAACCCCAGAGGCTTTGCTGCTTCCTCAATCTTGTGAATAATCTCATTAGCTGGACATTTTGATGTAAACCTTGTTTCTCTCTTAAATCCCTACAGAAAGTGAAGCAACTAATAGTTAATTTTAATATGAAACTCGATTTTTGTAATTATAATGTTTTCAAGTTTGACCCTGTTTACTTCCTCCTACTTGTTTCTGTAGGTTGTAGTTCTTTGTGTTTTACTTATGAGAATAAACTTCTTCTCTCATTTCCTCTCTCAAATCTCGTAATTCTTTGTTTATCACTAAAATGCATGTATGGAAATGTGACCCTCCAAGGACCCTCTAAATACGTGGAAAAAACTGAACATAACCATAGTCAACACTCAACATGGAAAAGCGTTTTTAAATGCAAACCTGTTCTGCATCAAACAGATTGCCAAGGTTCAACCCTTTCGACATGGAAATCAACTCGAAAGCATTCATAGTTGTCGGTTGTTCTTCTCTTTTTTCTGTAACATGGTGCTCCTGTTTCAAACCAACAACATAGAGTTATTAAGAAAAAAATGTTAAGAAGCATCAAATATAGCAGCATTTGTATGCTTATGTTTCATCCACTTACTTCAGAATCCTTAAATACAGCTTCTACATCATCTAAGTTCGTATCGACTTTCTCCTCAAACACGGGAGGTTTGTAGTCTTTCTTAAACCATTCATCTTGCAAAATTTCCGGAATGGTGATGCGCTGCAACGCAAGAAAGAGATATGCACACATAAATATGCATGGTTGCATGCATGAAAGGCTTAACATGCATTGTATACAATCTTTTATTACTTGCCACAAAAAGGGCAAAATTGAGACCTTCATGACATGAAGTATAGGATTGTTTTTTTTCCATATTCCTATTGAATCTACATAGAATTTAGTTTACATTGATGTTGAAGTCAAGTATAATAACTTACGGTCATCGGGTTTGGATCGAGGATTCGAGTTATCAATTTCATTGCACTAAAAGATAGCCAAGGGGGGCAAGTAAATTCAGCCACTGAAATCTGCAAATTTGGAGAAATGAGAGTAAAAACCAGGCAATGAAAACACTGGATATCAGCTACATGCAACTAGGAAATGCTAACCTTCTTATACAAGTTCATAAGATTAAAATCATCAAAAGGCAAGTAACCTGCAAGCAACACAAAGAGTATCACGCCACATGACCAGAGGTCTGCGGTCGCCCCGTCATAACCTCTATCATTAAGAACCTGTATAGGAAGACATAAAATTGTTAATAAATGGGTTTCCAAGGTGCAAATGCTAGAAGAAAACTAATGTGGTTAACAATTGACCACACCTCAGGAGCAGCATAATTTGGTGTCCCACAGGTCGTGTGAAGGAGACCATCTTCCTACAAATTCTTCTTCGGATTAGAAATGTTTTGTATTGTTCTAAAAGATACCAAAGATAAAAAGATATGAAACAAGTCTTGCACATTAACTGAATCAGTTACATCGGGATTTGGGAGTTTAAAATACTTTCCCAATAAGCAGATAAATAGCATGGACAACGGAATATCTTTTATAGCATACATTTCCTTACTCAGTTTATTACTTCTATTCAATGTTACTGGTTTACAATTCCATAACCCTTCATTCTATTTTAATTTTTTTTAGAAACACTCATAAAAATGCTTGCTCTCTCAATCATTATCACCAATGTTCATCTGCCTTTCCACTCTGCAACGGTTTTACTCAGTAAGGCCTTCACCATCAATAAGCTTGGGATAGAAAAAACTTGGATGACTTCATAGTTCAAAGGAAAAAGGTTGAGGACTCAAGAATGCTTAGGCATTCACATATCGAAGTTTAATAATCACCCACCATTAGAAGGAAAAAGAAAAGGCAATACATTACCCTGACTTGCTGGGATAATGCACTCAATCCAAAGTCAGAAACTTTGAGGTTATCGTAAGCATCCAACAACAAATTTTCAGGCTGCAAAAAGATCACATTAAAGTTTAAAGCAACTTAATTTCCTTACAGCATAACATGCATGCATGTAGACAAATATATGCACGTATAAACAAATTCACCCTAAAGGGTTTTAAGTTAAATACCTTAAGGTCCCTATGGTAAACACCCCTGCTATGGCAATAATCAACAGCATTAATGAGCTGCTGGAAGTATCTCCGTGCCTCATCTTCTCTCATCCGTCCATGGTTTACCTTCAGAATTAAGAAATGGTTAAAGCCACATTGGAAGGAAAGCCATGTGAATGGGAAGAAATTTCATCAGGCAGTGGTTAGCTAGAGTTGTAGCTAGAGTTGTAGCATTGCTGATACTAGAAAAATATATTAGTATTCGGGATGGCAAGATTCACCAACTCACAATTTTGTCAAAGGGCTCTCCCCCGGTGACAAACTCCAAAACAATAAATATCTTTGTCTTGCTTCCTATTACCTGAACAAAATCATACAAAATGATCCGATAAAAATTTTAAAGCTTGTTGCTCGGTCTGCTTTTCTTCGGTAACTGACACACAGAAGAGCACGATGTGTCACTAAGTAGTTATAAAGATCAGACGGCAGGATAAACCTTGTAAAGAGATAGATAAATGTTCCACATAGGCATTGCAAGAGATTGTATCAAAATAGTTTCTTTCATCTTAATTATATATCTAGCCTGGGTACATATTTCTGCAGACAGTTCACAAACGAACATATGCAGGCTACAAATAAAATATTTTTCTCAGATGCCAACACTGGTTTTCTGCTCAAAATTAATAAATATACGATCAATTCCAAAAATTTTCATATAATGTTCAAGGTTGGAGAAAGAAAAAGCCACCCATACTACTGTTAAAGACCGAAATTAAGAAGGAAGACTTTGTTTCAAAATAGAAGATACAAGTCCCCAACAAGCATAAAAGGGAATACGAGTATGTGGTACATAATCAACCAAGAACACACACAAAGAAAGAGAAACCTCATATAAACGGACAACATTTGGGTGTCTTATCAACTTCATTGTTGCTATTTCACGCTTGATCTGCGAAAACAAGCAGAAAAAAATCTAACAAATCTGATATGATATCTGAACTTCCTATAATGTGATTACAATAGCATTGACAAACTATGGAAATAGAAGAATTGATGAGGTTTTTATGAATATTAAATGGAAGAAAAGAAACTAAAAACAAACTTCTATCAACCAAAAAAAACTAAAAACAAACAAAATTCCTTCTCAAACCATGAAGAAAGAGAGGAAAATAATGGATCAAAAGAGACCTGCTCAGCCATCTTGTGCTTGAGAACCTTCTCTTTATCAAGGATCTTAAGTGCCACAGGCTCTCCCGTCTCAGAATTTCTTGCAAACTTCACTTTAGCAAATGTCCCCTCCCCAATAGTCCTTCCCACCTCATATTTTCCCACACAACGCTTGATTCTCGGTTGACTCATGCCTCTTTAAACTCTATGGCTTGAAACTTGTTCTACTACTGAAACAGATTTCAACATCTTTGTCATTCAATTTACACAAACATAGATCAAAAAAGAAAAACACATAAGAGACACCAAAACCCTTAGCAGGAGTAATGTTGAAAAACTTTTAAAACAACAAAAGGAAAAAGGGAAGTGAAGTTTAAAGACAAGGTGAATATTCTATAAACAAAAGGGAAAAGGGAAGTGAAGTTGAAAGACAAGGTGAATATTCAATCTGAAAGCCTCCTTATTGATACAGCAAAATAACAAAAAAAATTTATTTTAACCCAAAAGTATGGAGGGAAGATGAAAAATAGTGGCAATTGAAATTATATGATTTAACATCTTCAAACATCGGAACAAACATATGATGAACAACAAGAAAAAGGGCAGAACAGCCAAATAGGCTATAAACTACCAACTTACTGAGAATTTGCAGAGGCTTTCTCTGTTTTTCTTCAAATGATCGATTCCATAGCAGCAGGAATCAAGCCTATTCAGCTAAAACAAAAACAATTATTCTCTACCAATTTCATCTATGATAATACTAATAATTAGTAAACTGAAATAAACAAACGAATCAGTACCACAGAATTCTGTTGTTATTAGAAAAAAGAAGATAAATTTTAAACTAATCACTCAAACTAGAGACGAAATCAAGGAAGAAAATCACAGTCCATAAAATTTGCTAATTCCAGAAAATCAAGAATGACTCACCCAGAATAACAAATCAAGTTTGGAGCTTGATTTGATTTCACCAGAGATGGGTAGAGGCATAAAGAGTCGAGAAATATCACCCAACAGTCAAAATTCAACGTTTTAAATGTGAGTAAGAATACCATTGTATTTGAATTATCTATATCATAAGATTGGCTAATGAAAATATAATTAAGAGAGAATATGAAAGGAATATGCTTATTAGACTTAGATGATTGGATAAGAAGGAGAAAATAAATTGAGAGGAATTATGGGGAAAAATTGAAGAAAAAGTCGAATTAAAACTCTCTGATGATCATATCATCGCCGTCATGTGCGCTGCTGCAGCAACCAGACAAAGCTTCTTTTTTTCTCATTTTATACAGAAAATGGAAACTGGATTTAGGAATTATTTACCGGATCAACATTCAAGAATTACAATTATATTTTTTTATTAATCTAATATAAGTGTAAGATAGTTTTTGAGACACATTCAAATTCAACATTCAATAATAATAATATAGAAATATAAGTTACCAAAATGAAAAAAAAAACAAATTAGAGGGAGGAATCCGTCAAACTTCTGTAATCTATAACTTAAATGAAATAAATAGAATTTGAATAATGACTGAAAAGAAAATAATAAATATAGAAATAAAAAATGAGATTTTAAATTATTAAATTAATAAATTATTATAATACTTAGATTATTATATTTAACTTAAATTTTGAATTAAATATTTTTAAATATAATAAATAATTATTTATTATTAAATTCTAAATAATACTTTAAATATTTCAATATTATTTAATTTAAATATTTTTTAAATGTTAAAAAATAACTCTCAATCATTTGATAATAAATGTTTATATTTTTAACATTTATGATGTTCCCGAAATTTTAAAAAATAACAATAATTTATTTATCGCCAATATCATTTAGTTCGTCCCGGAATTAGAGTATATAATTTTATTGATTATTAACAAATTATAATCATAAGGAGTAGAAATTATATAGAACTCTAACTCTAAAATACTTGTAATTAAGTATATCAAAACTCTATCTAATAGATAGAGATAGAGATAGGCATCCACATAAATAAATATTTATAACACTCCCCCTTTGATGTCTATGAAGATAATGTGTCTGATTAAAACCTTATTAAGATAAAATCATGTGGGGGGGGAGAGAAATCTTAATGGTGGAAAAATACAAATATCTTTAATACGCATAATATGTTGCCTCATTAAAAACTTATTAAAATAACCCAGTGGGAAAAACCTTGATTAAAGGAAAATGAGTGCGATGCGTATTTACTCCCCCTCGTATATGCATCACTGAAGATCTTTGAGACAACGAAATCTAATGTTGAAAATTAATCTCTCAAATGTAGAAGTAGAAAGTGGCTTAGTAAATGAGTATGCTCAATTTTCACTTGATCGGATTTGTTGTACATCAATATCTTCACTCTTTTGTAGATCATGGGTGAAGAAAAACTTTGGTAAAATGTGTTTTGTTATGTCACCTTTTTTGTTTCCTAATTTAAGTTGGGCGATGCTTGTTGTATTATCTTCATATAAAACTGTCGGAGATTCATTTTCTATGCATAAGCCACAGTCTTTTCGAATTTGAAGAATTACAGTCCTTAGCCACACACATTCACAACTAGATTCATGGATGGCCAAAATCTCGGCATAGTTAGAGGAAGTAGCAGTAATCGTTTGTTTCATTGATCGCCAAGAAATTAAGGTACCATCGTATGTGAAAACATAACCAGTTTGTAATCGAGCATTATGAAGATTAGATAAGTACCATGCATCTGCAAAACCAACTAATTATGTTTTGGGTTAACTATAAAAAAATAACCCCATCTTTTGTACCTTGAAGATAAAGAAATATGTGTTTGATCCCATTCTAATGTCTTATGGTTGGATAAGAGTTAAATCTGACTAATAAATTAACATCAAATGATACGTCTAAATTAACAATAAATGATACGTCTGGTTGAGTATGACTAGCAAGGTACATTAGTGCATCGATTGCACTTAAGTATTGTACTTCTAGATCAAGAAGATCTTCATCCTTTTCCGTGGATGAAAAGGGTCATTTTTTACATCAAGTGACCTAACAACCATTGGGGTACTCAATGGATGTGGATGTGCATTATGCATGTAGAATTTCTTTAGCATATTTTCTATATATGTTGATTGGTGCACAAGTATTTCACCCTTTAGGTGCTCAAAATGTAATCCAAGACAAAATCTTGTTTTCCTAAGGTCTTTCATTTCGAATTTTTTCTTTAAGCATTCCATCATCATAGAGATCTCTTCAAGAGTTCCAATAATATTTAAATTTTCAACATATACAATAATTATGACAAATCCCAATCCAAATCTCTTGATAAAAATACACAGGAAAATAGAATTATTCTTATATCATTCTTTTAATAGATATTCACTAAAGCGATTATACCATATGCACCCATGTTGTTTCAATCCACAAAGAGATCTATTTAATTTAATTGAATAATGTTCTCGAGAACCTTAATTAATTGTTTTTGGCAGTTTGAAGCCTTTTAAAAGTCTCGTGTAAATGCCACTATCAAGTGGGCCGTAAAAATAAGCTGTAACAATATCCATTAGGCGGATGGTAAGTTTCTCTTTTATTGCCAGACTAATAAAAAATCTCAAAGTAGTTGCATCTATTATTGGAGAGTATGTCTCTACATAATCAATATCGGACCTTTGTGAGAACCCTTGTGCAACCAAACAAGCTTTGTATCTTACTATTTCTCCTTTTTGGTTTCACTCTCTAAAAAACCCCCATTTATATCCCGTAGGCTTTACCCCTTTAGGGTTACGGACTATGGGTCCAAATACTTCTCTTTTCGGAAGAGATTTTAATTCTGCCTCAATTGTTTCCTTCCATTTTGTCTAATCACTTCTTTATCGAATATTGTTAAATAGATATTGGCTCTCAATCCACATAATCAACCAAAATATCTAGTGTTATACTGCATGCAAATATATCATCGACGTCGATTTTATTTCGGTTTCACTTATTTCCAGACATGATATAATTTATTGATATTTCTTAATTATCAGATACATGATTCTCTTCTAAATAAATTTATTTTAGTCATGTCTAAGGTATCTTCCAGAGATGTTTCAAAATTTATGGTTTCCTCATTTTGACCATCAGAAAACATAACTCCACGTTTTTTTAGGATTCTTATCTTTGGAACCTATTGGTCTACCACGCTTCAAGCATGCTCTAGAATCGTTAGCAACTAGAGTTTGTCATTCAGGGACATCAATCTTAATTGAAACATTTACAACTAGTATGTGTGACTTAGTCACTCTTTTTGGGTCATTGAAAGTATCTGGCAATTAACTTGCTAAATTTTGTAAATGAATTATCTTTTGAACTTCAAGTTCACATTGTTGCGTACTTGGATCATAATAAGATAATGATAACTCATTCCATTTTATTTTCTTTTCCAATTGTTCAGTTTCTCCCCTTAATGTTGGAAAAACTAACTCATTAAGATGACAATCAGCAAATCGAGCTTTAAATAAATTATCAGACAATGGCTCAAGATATTTAATTATCGATTGGGATTCAAACCCTATATTTATTCCCAACCTTCTTTGAGGAACCATCTTTGTTTGTTATGGTGGAGAAATAGGGACATATACCACACATCAAAAAATTCTTAGATGGGAATATTTGGTTCATGGCCAAAAACCATTTGTAATGGGGAGAATTTATGATGACTTGTTTGCCTGAAGCGAATTAGTGATGCTGCATGTACTCTGGCATGTCCCCAAGCAGAAATCGAAAGTTGTGATTTCATAAGCAATTGCCTCGCAATTAATTGAAGTTGTTTAATGAATGACTCGACAAGACCATTTTGTTTATGAAAATGAGTTACAGGATGTTCAACATTTATTCCGATAGACATGCAATAATCATTGAAAGCTTGAGACGTGAATTCACCAACATTATCAAGACGAATTGTCTTTATAGGAAAATCTGAAAAATGTGCTCGTAATTTAATTAACTGAGCAAGTAACCTCATAAATGATAAGTTGCGGGTTGGTAACAAGGATACATGTGACCATCTAGTTGATTCATCAATTAAAACCATAAAATATCTAAATGGTCCATAAGAAGGGTGTATAGGCCCACAAATGTCACCATGTCTCCATTCTAGAAAGTTGATAGATTCATAATCTATCTTTGTTGGTGATGGCCGAATAATTAATTTGCCTTTAGAGCAAGCATCGCATAAAAAATTATTGTTTTGAAGAATCTGTTGGTTCTTCAATGAATGATCATAGGAATTGTCAATAATTTTTCTCATCATAATTGAATTGGGATAGCCTAACGGGTCATGTCAAATAATAAAGTTATCAATAAACTTCTGGTTTACTGCATGTATTCCAAGCTGAGCTCTGGGCGATTCTTGAATGCCTCTCAATTACCTGGGATCGCTGGTTACGTAATGTTGTGGTGGAAAGTGACAATAGTGAGGTAGTAAGATGCCTTAATTCCCTTGATCGTGTGAATGACGATGTTGTTTCTCGACGTATCCACCATCTTTTTTCCCAGAAGTGGAGCGTTAAAGTCACACATGTCAAATGTGAAGCCAACTCGCTTGCTGATGCCATGGCTCACATCAATAAAGGCGGCCATTTTGAGATGATGATCTTCCACGAATCCTCATATGAAGTGAGAAGTATCTTTAATCTTGGAAAGACAATATCTGCTACTAGCTAACCACTCGATAGTGACCTCTTTGTTACCAAGAAAAGATTAAAAGTAAACCCATTGACCTGCAATCTTAAGGATTTCCATTTACATGTGTATAAAAATATAAAATCAAAGGAAAGTGCACTAATCAAATTATCTTAGTTGTTAAAGGAATAGTTCTTATTTTTAGAAGCTTCGGGTTCGAGTGTCAGTGATTACAACAAGGGTGATTGAGCATTCGTTGTCAAATAATTGAGAGTATTTAGAACATATACTAAATCCATTTAAGAGTTTTAAGAGAACAAAAGAAAGTTTTGAGTTCGAATAACTACA